TGGGTTGTCCCAGAGTTTTTCGCTGTTATTTTCTTTGTCCGCGCGTGCTCATCCGGCGTGGCCCCGAGAGGGGGGAGTTTTCCAGCGGTTTTCGGATTGAGATTTTCGTTAACCCCGGAAGTCGATGATAACGCGCTTATTGTGATTTTGATGTTGCGCGCCGAGGCCATGAGAACCGCGCGGAGTTTTTTTCAAACACGCCTGCGTTTTTTTTTTTTGTTGTTGTTGTTGCTGTTGTTTTTGTTTTCGTGGCGCCGTTTGTTCAGCGTGAGGTCGCGCAGAAAAAAGAAACGACATTTTGCCGAAAACGTGTGACAGTTCGCGTCGATAGCGCCAGTGTTCTCGACCAGCTCCTGGATCGTGTTTTGAATTGTTGCGCGCGGGATGAGTTTGCCGGTCTGCCTCTTTCATTCGCAAATAGTTTCGTTTTTTTTTGGGCCGGCTTGTTTGCGTGAGCAAATGCGTTTCCTTTTCCTCAAGCGTCAAGGTTTTCTGACCTTGACAATTACCAAAGGTCGCATTTAATTTCGCTGTTATTTTTGTCGAGCAGTACGATGTAGGCTGCGTCGTAAACGTTTGTGTGCTTATGTTTCCTCGCTTTTATCGCAGCGGTTCGGCGCGCGTGACGCAGTTTTCTTTGCGTCCTTTTTGTGGCTGTTTGATTTTTCCGTCGGTTTTCGTTCTTCGTTGTGCTGCTCTCGTGTTCCCGATGCCCCCGTCCCCCCCCTGTCTTCCCCTTTCTCGCGCTTCGCTGTCGCGTGTCGTCATCGTGTTTCGTGTTGCTGTCGTCGTCGTCGTCGTCGTTGTCGTGCCGTGTCTTTCTTCTCCCTTCCCTTTCCTCGTTTCCCCTGGCCGCCCTACGTGGATCGCCAGATTCGCGGCCTTCGCGTTGCCCGTTTTTTTTTTTTTTTTTTTTTTTTTTTTTTTTTTTTTTTTTTTTTTTTTTTTTTTTTTTTTTTTTTTTTTTTTTTTTTTTTTTTTTTTTTTTTTTTTTTTTTTTTTTTTTTTTTTTTTTTTTTTTTTTTTTTTTTTTTTTTTTTTTTTTTTTTTTTTTTTTTTTTTTTTTTTTTTTGTTTTTTTTTGTTTTTGTTTGTTTTTTGTTTGATTTTTGTTTGTTTGTTTGTTTTTTACCATTTGCATTGTTATTATTTATTTTATCTTTTTCTCGTCCGCGTCGTTTGTTGTTGCTTTTTCTTCCTCCCCCTCTTTCTGCTTCCTCCTTCGTCTTTTTTTGCCCTCTCTCTTCTCTTGTCTCTGCTGTGTTTAGTTTCTTGCTCGGTCGCCTGGGTTTTTCGGTTTTCCCATGCTTCGTCGCCTTGGTCTTGGCGGGCTGTCCACTGTGTTGCCTGGCTTCTGTGTCCTGAAAGTCATTCGTGCTCAGAACTTCCATGCCCGTTGCCGGCATCTTTGCGCGATCGGGGCCGGGCGACCATAATTAATTTTGACGCTGTCAGGGGTAGTTTCCATATTCTGTCGCAGACGCAGCCTCCCAGTGATGATTTTAGTATTTGGTGTACTTATTCCGATTTAACATTTCTTATGTCTTGTGCTGTCGATCGTTGCTTAGTTGTATGTTCTTGCAACATGCGGAGTTTTTATGGGCGCTTGACGTTTTCTCGCCGATGCAGTTTTGTTGTTGTTATTGTGGTTGTTGTTGTGGTTATGGCTATGGTTGTTGTTGTTGTTGTTGTTGTTGTTATTCTGTTTTTTCCCTTCTTCGAAGACGCACATCTTATCTTACGTCGAGTGCAGGACCCTCTTTCATATCACGCTTCGTCTTCTGTTTCGGTATCTCTGGGCGCCTTCCTTACCTGTTTCTGCGTACCTTGTGCGTGACGGGCCCATGCGCTATGTTTCATGTCAATGCAGCGCCATTCTGCAATTGTCGTGGCATCAGCTTTTCCGGCGGTCTTTCGATGGACCGTTGTGGACTCGGTCCTTCCTGTTTCCAGGATGTTTCAGTGTTGGACATAGCGCCGCTGTCGGCCAGGGCCCCCAGGAAGACACAGGCATCATGCGGTTGAGTGGCCCTCCGCTGCATCAGACTTTCTTCTCCTTCGGGACTTCATCGTCTCATCTCTGCGTGCCTTGAGATTCAATCGCGCCTTCATTCGAAATCTCGCGCGCGTTGGTGTGCGCGCTATTTTTGAGACTGGTGGGCTACTTTTTTCCCCTCGCTTTCCGCGGCTTCGCGCGCTCTGGTTGGCTTTTTCGCTCCCTCTCCGTCTCTCTCGCTCTCCCTCCTTTCCTCGTTCTTTGCTCTCCTGTTGTCGGATGCTGTCGTGTCCCGCCGTCGTCTTCAATTCGTCCGTCGTCGTGTCGCTTCCTCCCTCATTCTCCTTTCTCCTCCCTTCCCGGCCGCCCTGCGTGGAGCGCAAAGTGCGCGCGTCGCGCGTCGCCGCCGTGGGGTCGGCCCTCCCCTGTTTCCTCCCCTTCTCTCTCTCTTCTGTTGTTGTCTTCTACCGCTGCCATCCTTCCTTTCCCCCTCCTCTCCTCTCTCACTCCCCCCTCTTCTTCATGTCTCTTTCACGGAAGTTTTAAAACGTTTTGCTACGGTTCAAGCTCATGTTCCCATCAGGTGCGTCCCAGGCGAGGCCAGGTAGGATATTTGAACATTTCGGATTTCAAGTTGTTAAATTTGGAAGTCGACGGTGAAAACAATTGTTGTTGCCGTGCCATTTCTTCCGCGCTATAGCATTTCGTTTTAACATTTTGTTATCGCTTCTGCGCCCCCCCAGCATGAGCTTTCTGGTAGTTCTGCTTTCCTTTTTTGTCCTGTGCATTTCTCTGAGGATGCAGACTTCCAACGCAATGCTCGACCGACGACTTGATGGTTTTTCAAAAGTTTGCGAGCTTGCGTAAACCAGTATCCGCCACGATGTTGATCCAAGTGGCTGACATGACAGCAGTCATTTTTCGTTGCAAGTCAACGGCGCGCGCGTGATGAAACATGGGCCAGCGAATCATGATTTCCAGATAGTTGGTCCAAGGGCCGTGGCTTTGGTGCACCATGTCCTGCGCTCCGAACGCAGCCTGGGCTGTCCGGGCCTTGTGCCATTCGAGATCGCAACCAAAGCGGGGTTTGGGATACTCAACGCGCTGAGGGCTAGCAACATCAAAGCATTAACGTGGCCCAGAACTCCCAGCGCGTCAGAGCAATGAACAATCACACGGTAGTTTAAAGCGAAAGCAGTAGTGCATGACATCGGGAAAAAGCAACATATCATCTTCAGCCCCGTGTTCTTTTTTTGGTGGGGTACGCAAATTCCGACCAAATTTAGGTATCGATATTTCCATTGCGAGGAACCGATCAGCCTGTTGTATTGCCAGGGTGCGTTCGTACGTCAATCAACGGGCGAGAAGGGAAGGCAGTCACGCATGCAGCCGAACAACATGTTTATCTGCTAGGGTGGTTTCGCGTAGTCCTTTGCCAGTCGGTCGCACGATTCTCCTAAGAACAGGTCTCCAAGCAACGCAAGGAAAATGTCACTTTTCCCGTTCACCTCTTTACAAGGTGAGAGGAAAGGCACACAGCCGAAGAGACAATCATGTGTGGTCAGTTCTCTTGCTTGAACCTTCTGCTGGAACTGAATGGGGGAAATCTTTGGTGATGGTGAAGAGGAAGAGGAGGTTCAACGAGATATGGGCCGCGAGTGGATCGACGACGCAGTGCTTGAATCCATGATCGTGCGCCCACTGTCGCAAAAACGGCTTCTTCTTGCGCCATAATGATTGAGCGGTGGACAATTGTGATGCATGTGGGGATTTTCAGCAGTCTTTGTTCCTACCACATCACCTTGCATATTATTTCTTTCTGTTTGCGTCGATTCCAAATCAGGCACTTAACCGTAGCGAGGCCGACGATGAGTACATTTTGGACCGTTAGTGCCCTGAATCAAAAGCCGACTTACGAAACCTGTAACAGAAAAGCACTAACGAGCGCAGGCGCACATCTGATACGTGTTTTTGCACGAAGGTGGGCGTGGCAGAATTCCAGATGCTGGCGTGGGACAATATGTAAGGGTTAGTCGACTTGGTAAGACCGTATATCGAATTGTCAATCCGCGCAGTGTTTTTCGCCGTGATCAGCCCTTTCGGGGGACAGCGCATGTAGGTACCCAGCATTTTAAGGCTGATTACGGTTGGTTTAAGCTTGCTTTCTGAGGAATGCATCTCATTTCGTGGCAAGTTTTGTCTCGTATGCCCATGCTTGTCGCAGTGAGTAACGCGTCGGGTAACCGCATTTGAGTGGCGCCCCTTGTTTTTGCGCATCAGTCTCCAGTCAGGCATGTTCGAGGGTTTCTCACTTGGTTTGTGCAGGGAACCGCTGTTTGCAAGCCGTTGCTATTCCAGTTTCTCTTCAGTTGGGCGTGGGTTCTTCGAGCACGCATTCATGTTTTGATGCCATGTTGTACGTCTTCTCCGCTTGTCTTGCGCCATGTTGTCGGGGCGTGCTATGCCAGGCGTTGTTACGTTTTTAGTCGTAGCATAATAAACAAAACAAGCGAAATCACGAAAAACACATGAAGCAAGCATGTATTATTTCGACCTCATGATTCGTGGGTTATCATGGATTTCGGAACAGGCTATGGTTTCATGGGTCTTTTCATTGGCGCAAGGTTCCGTTACACATGCAAAATATTGTGGTTCGGGGAGAACCACCGCTTCGATAGCAAATCGTGGAAGCCTTGCATACCCCCGTAGTTTCGTCCTTGACAGGCATGTGCATCGATTGGCGTCTGATAGTCAATGATCTAGCTCCGATTTAACTTCGATTGGCGCTGATGTAACGTCGATGTAGCGGCGTCGGTTAGCGTCGATTTGCGTCGAGTCGCAAGAGCTAACGAGATGGTCCGTGAGGCTCACCTCGGATTTGTAATGATTGCGACAGTCATTCGGAGTCACATCTCTCTTGACCCCCAGATTTTGTATTGTTTCGCAGTGCACGTGTTTGCACACATAATCGTAATCGGGTTTGGGTGGCTCGTATCCATTTGCAGACGTGCAGTTCCGGGAGAACGGCTACCTCATCTTGGCGTCCCCCGGCAATGGGGAGAGCGTGTTGCGGGAGAATGTGGCAGTTCAGCATGCCGCAGGCTTGGAGTAGTTTGGAGCGGAGTGTATACCCAGAAGATGAGAGCGAACAGTATGGAGCGGAAGTGTGGGGGAGGTTGTGGCAGTAGTGTTTCAAATTGCGCAGTGACCGGTCCAAAGTTTGGATGCCCTTGTTTGCTGGGCGATGCTAGTACTCTTTGACCATTTTCGGCCCGTTGCCACCAATCCCTTGGCTCGGCTTGTGCCCGATCGTTTCCGGCTCTGTTGCTGCAATCCGTTGCCACGATTTTTGTCAATTTGGCCTTGTTCGCAGTTCTTGTTTCGGTCTTGTTCGTAGTCTTTCCTGGCCTTGGTGTTGCCTTCTGCTGCCGATCTTCTTGATTTGGGCTCTTCCCTGGCGCTGTTTTTGCTTTAGATGAATATTTTGTTTTGGCGACCTTGTCCCCGATTGTCGCTGGCCCTGGTGCTGCGCCACGTTGCCGTCACTCTATTCGGACTGGCCTTGTCCTCGATAGTCCCTGGCAATGTAGCCGCCGTCCATTGCCACCCATTTTCTTAGGTCGGCCTTGTCTGCAGATGTCCCTGGCCCTGGTGCTGCCCTCCGCTGCCGTCGATTTTCTTCGTCCACGGCGCTGTTTCTGGTTGTGTTGCAGCCTAGCCCTCGACTATCCCTGGCCCTGGTGCTGTCGTGAGCCGCTGTCAGTTTCTTCGGTTCGGCCTTGTTCGCGATCGTGCCCAGTCTTGGTACCACCTCCGCTGCCACCAGCTTCGTAGGTTCGGCCCTCCCATGCGGTTGATTCTCTTGGTTCGGTTCGTCCCCTACCATCCCGGGCCTTGATGCTGCCCTCCGCTGCCACCAAGTTTCCTTGCTTGGCCTTGTCCGCTGTTGCCCCTGGCCCTGCTGTTGCCCCACGCTGCGGTTGTAACCTTCTGTTGCCACGACTTGCCTGTGTTGGTCCTGTCCCCGACCGTCCCCCTCCTCCGCCCGCGGCCTCCCCTCTTTCCCCGACTGTGACCCTTTGGCCGTCACGCAACGGCATCGTCATTGGTGTCCCTTGCCTCAGTGTTTCGGATCCACGCGTCGATCTCATAACCTACGTCGTCAAGCAGGCTGCTTTCCGTCGCCGTCACGACGAGCTGGATAAAGGCAGGCTCAGGTGGTGTAGTTCAGCGTGCTTTCAGGTTGGCGTAATGCTGACTCAGTTGGTGCACTTTAACGTGTTTTCAAGTTTGTGTGATCTGAATTGCGATGCGATGCAAGCTTCAGGTCGAGACCCAGGTTCAGAGTAGGCGGCCCGACGTCAGGAGGATGCGACAGACAAGAGCTGGGCCAAGGGGGTCGGAACCCTTCGCAACCAGTGCAGGGAAAGGGAGGATAATGAGGAAAGGAGGGAGGAGGATGAGGATGACGATGATGACGATGATGACGATGACGATGACGATGACGATGACGATTATGGTGATGCTGATGATGATGACGATGAAGATGACGATGAAGATGCTGATGATGATGGTGATGACGATGATGATGTTGATGATCCTGCTGATGATGATGATTCTGATAATGATGATGATGATGATGATGATGATGATGATGATGATGATGGTGATGATGATGAGGAGGAGGACGAGGAGGATGGTGATGATGATGATGAGGAGGAGGAGGAGGATGCGGAGAATCATGAGGAGTCCCTTCCTGGAGGTCTCCTGGGGCCTCCAGAGGTCTCCACAGGTTCTCCGATGCGTCCAGAGTGGTCCAGGTTATTTGGCTCAGCATGTCGCTCCGTCTGTTCTGGCCTTACGACACGCTGTCACGCCCCCGTGCCGATCGTCAACGTCTCGAGTTTTTCCGGGCCTCCCGGCCCGCGGAGCGGAGCGACACTCTATCCGCTTGCAGGGCATACCGTATCGCCGGGACCGCCACCGCGGCACGCTATGCAAAAGCTCCTGGCCGTCATGATGAGGAGTCCCCTCCTGGAGGTCTCCTGGGGCCTCCAGGAGGTCCCCACAGGTCCTCCGCTCACAAAATGCTCCAATCGTCGCAGTCGTCGTCGCCGTCGCCGTTGTCGTCGACGTATTCATCGTCTCGTCGTCGTCGTCGTCGTCGTGATGATGATGATGATGGTGGTGGTGATGATGATGATGACGATGCGATGGTGGTGGTGGTGGTGGTGATGATGGATTGGATGATGATGATGATGATGATGATGATGATGATGATGATGATGATGATTATGATGATGATGATGATGATGATGATGATGATGATGATGATGATGATGATGATGATGATGATAATGATGATGATGATGATGATGATGATGATGATGATGATGATGATGATGATGATGATGATGATGATGATGATGATGATGATGATGATGATGATGATCAGGATCATGAAACGGAGTAATAAGATGATGATGAGAAGGAGGAGGATGATAATGACGAGGAGGAGCTCCTCCCTCGAGGTCTCCAGGGGCCTCTGGAGGTCTCAGGAGTTCGTGCACGGAGGCCTCCAGCTCTCGGAGGCCCACAGAGGGCCTGACCACGTCCAGGAACCTCGATCCCTGGGTGGATTGTGGTTGGCATGCTTGTCCTGCGTCTGTCGGGGGCATGCTGGAAGCCGTCTTGAGCCACGTGTTTGTTGGGTGTCGCGTAATGGGGGGCGATAAGTCGGGGGGCAGGAAGGCTGCAGAAAAGGTGTCCTTTAGGGCCCCGGACGGGCCCTTCAGGGCCCAAAAGGGGGTCTTTAGGGCCCGAAAAGTGCACCTCCCCCTATTTATCGTCCCCCCACCCCATTAAGCGACGCCCAAGTTTAACCGCCGTGCGCGATCTTGGATGCCATCTCGGGGCCATCCTTTTGGGGCTATATCTGAGACGCTTCTGCAGGTCGCGGCCCCTCGTCTTGACCCCTGCATGGGGAGGGATATCCGCCAAGCTGCCGACGGCCAGAGGGCTTGATGATTCTCCGCTTTCCTCGCTCCTTTCATCTCTCCCTCCCCGCTTTCCCTCCTCCTCATCCTCTTGGGGCCCTCGTGGGCCGTTTTGGTGGGTGGCTCAATAGATCATCTCGCGGCCCTCGCGGGCGGTCATGGAGGCCTCTTGAGCTGTATTGGGGCCATCTTAGACGCCTCTTGGGCCATCTGGGGGTGTCGAAAGCCCGATAAGGCGGGAACGCGAACATCATTCAAAAACTTCAGGGAATTCATTGAGTTTGGCGTCTGGGGCCCTTTGGAGGTCCTCTTGGAGGCTTGTCGGGGCGTCTTGAGGGAGGCCCCTGGGGCCGGATTGAAGCGATCTTGGGCCGCGTTGGGGCCATTTTGGGCCTGTCTTGCGGGTCATGCTGGTCCGTCATGAGGGCCATCTCGGGCCATCTTGGCCATCCTGGACGCGAGTTGTTCGGATCTCTTGGAGGTGGCGGGTTTGGTTCAGATGCCATCGTGAACCTTTTGGAAGGGCCAACGGCTACGGGGGCGGCGGAGTGTGTGGGCCTCTCGGTGGGGCCTCTTGGGGGCCTCCTGGAGGCCTTCTTGGGGGCCTCGCGTGGGCCTCTCGGGGCCGTTTTGGGGGGGCCGTATTGGGCTCTCGTGCCGCTCTGGCCGCCGAGTGCCGCTGCCCTCCTGCAGCAGGGGCGGACTGGATCTCGCTGCTGGACGCGGCCCAGCTGGCCGAGCGCTTCCCCTGGCTGTCCGTCGATGGTGGCCGGGGGCGGGCGGCGACAGCTGTACTATACTCTGGGCGTGCGTGAGGCGGAGCTGTGCGAGCTGCGCGCACGGCCCTCGTGGTTCGTCGAATTTCGAAGCTGCGCGATGGGGACGACACTTCGCAAGCGCCGGGTGGTTCACACGGGGGTAGCAGCACGTGTGTGTCTGCCGCTGGTGGCCATGTTGGGCAGGAGGTGCTCTGCTAGTATCGTGGCGCACCGCAACAAGGAGGAACCTTGTCCGTGCCAGTTTCCTAGAGCAAATCGTCTTCGGGGGCCAGCCGCAACTGAGGAGCCGTGGTCCCCAATCCCCCTGAGGGGCCCATCGGCTTCGACACCTACCTCCAGAGATCGTGGATGCGATGGGTTCCCCCACGTGGGGGTCAAGGAATACAGCTCCCCCAGCTGTGGCCGGTCGGATTTCGCAGCACCGTCGTGAAGAGTTCAGCCCCGTTGCTGAGGTGAGAGGGCGGAGGCAGTAGGAGGAGGGAGGGAGGAGGGAGGCGACCTCGCCCTCGCTTTCATCCCCGTCCTCCTCCTCTTCCTCCTTCTCCTCCTTCTATTCCTCCCCTCTGTCACCTCCCTCCTCGACGTCGTCGTAGGCGCTGGACTGTGCCTCGGCAAAAGCGCCCCAAAGCGCGTCCTCGACGTCGTCGTTGTCGTCGTCCTCCTCCTCTTCCTCTTCCTCCTCCCCGTCCTCCTCGTCGTCCTTCTCCTCGTCCTCTTCGTCCTCTTTATCCTCTTCGTCCTCTTCGTCGTCGTTCTCATCGTCCTCCTCGTCCTCATCCGCATTCCCCTCCCTCTTCCTTCTCCCCCCCCGCCCCCTCCCCTCCCCCCTCCCCTCCCCCGCCCTTCTCTGGTGATCTCCAGAGGTCGCTGGAGGCCTCCTGAGGCCCAAAAAAGGCCAAGAACGTCCCGAAATCTCCGACCCTCGGTCATCCTCGATAATCGTCAATCCCCGCTGGTTCTTTCTCTTCCTGATCATCATCGTTCATCCTCGACCTCCGATTCTCGATCATCCTCGATCGTCGATCACCCGATCCTCGACCTCCGATCCTCGGTCCCCGACCCTCGTTCTTCTCCCCCCAGCTGGCAGCCTCGGCCCCAGTCGGCCCCACCGTCGCGCGCGCCGCGGGCGCTGCGCGTGCGCGCCCATGGCCGCGCGGCGGGCGCCCAGTTCTTCCGCGGCGGCGCGGGCGCGAACCCGCCGCGGCCGCCGCCGCATGGCACTGGCGGTGAGCGCCGGCGCCGGCGCCAGCGCCGGCGTGCTCGCGCTGTCGCTCGGCGCCAACGGCTGGCCGGCGGCCGCTGCCAGCCGCTGGCCGGCGGCGTGCGCGTTCGGCGCGCTCGACGCCGGCCCGCGCGCTGGCGCTTGGCGGAGGCGCGCGCTGTCGGTGGCCGCGCGTGCGGTCGCGCGGTCGCGGCGGGCGGCCGCGCTCGCGGGGCTGGCGTGCGGCCCGTGGGCGGCGCCCGCGGCGCGCGCGGCGCCTGGCGTCGTCGTTATCGTCGTCGTCGTCGTCGTCGCCGCCGTCGCCGCCGCTGCCGCCGCCGCCGCAGCTTCCGTCGCCGTCGTTGTCGTCGGTGTCGTCGTCGTCGTCGTTGTTGTTGATGTTGTTGTTGCTGTTGCTGCTGTTGGTGTTGTTGTTGCTGCTGCTGTTGTTTCGTTGTTGTTGCTTCGTTGTTGTTGTTGCTTCGTTGTTGTTGTTGTTGTTGTTGTTGTTGTTGACGAAAACACTCACTGGTGCCTGGTGGCTGAGCCCCCCCAGCAACACAGCAACACAGCAACAGCGCAACAGCGCAACAGAGCCTCCCACCCAGCAACAGAGCAACAGAGCCACAAAGCACCCCCCCAGCAACAGAGCAACAGACGACAG